TTATGTTTTTTGGATGTCTTTATTTTAATAGAATCCTTGATGGTCAAGAATAACTTCATTTAGCGCCAACCTGTCACCCTCACGCGCACTTTGTTGTTTATGTCATGTCACGGATGAACGCACACAAAAAAAATTACCGTTATTTCTGAATATAGCATTGTAAAAATAAACCATTCAAACGATGAATTCCAAAACTTGGGTAAAAAATGTCAAGTAATAAAAAAGTTATTCACATTTAAAAACTGCACAGTTATAAGTTTTGTTAAGTGTACACATTAATCATGAATGGATCATTATATAGCCTATATTATTTTATCAACCATCAGAATAGTTAACTTTAACAACAACCAGTTTGCTGTAATGGGCAAAATTAGATTGATTTATCTTGAATAGGATCAGTGTCTATTCTAGGATTCAAAAAACAGGGGGGATTTTTCTTGAAAAGAGAGAATTTCTTACATTTGTTGATCGTTTTCCTTCTTTCTTTCATATTATGTAAAATTTTCCCCCTGCTTCTGGAAATATAGGGAGGTATTCTCAAAAATATGAGCGAATCCCCCAATTGCCCCCTCCTAGAATAGACGCTGTATGATTTTGGTAATATTGTTGATATGCTAATTGTGAATGAAACATGTCATCTAAAGGTAATCTTTGTTTTAAAGATGAATGTCATTAAAGTGCCTTTTTCTGTTTTCACCTCCAGTTTGAATTTCATTTTTATAAACTTAAAAGTATCACCGCACATACAACTATTTGAGAGTTAACTTATTTTAAAATCAATTTATTCATATCAAAACTCTAAGTAAACATATCAAAATTTTATTCCTGTCAATGCGAGGCATTTCCTTGTATGAAATAATCAACTTATTTTTATTATGCAGGATTACTGTTAATTAATGGCATTTCAATGAATTAAGGCAAATGGCCCCCGAGGATACACATTATTTATTTGCATGTCGTTTAAATCCCGTATTTTTTTTCTTTTTACCACAATGAAGAGTGACATATTACGTTTGATGTGTTTACGTTAGTTGACATCGCTTGATTAGATTGACGTAATAACGTGTTGTAAGTAATTAACCCAGTAATTGGGTCATCATTACCTTACACATTGACAGAAATATGTCACACTTATCGAGTAGTCACTTCAAAATGCTTTCTTGCTTTATTACGCGTAATATTTGTTAATAATTGATAATTACATAATATTTTGATAGGACGTATGAATTTATAGAAACACCATGATTTTATTGACATGCAGTTGACAATGCTGGACTCGTTAATGCATTTTTGATATGAAAAAAATAAATGAATTACAAAATAGCCCGTTATATTACATGAATGATAGGCTTCAATATTGACATGTATTATACATGGGGAAAGTTAATGAGACAAGTCAGTCAAAGCAAATAAAAATTTTAAAAAATATCAAAAGATTTAGATATTAGTATAACACTAAGTCTTGTTTTTTTTAACGCTAAGTCTTGTTTTAACACTACTAGTCTTGTAAACACCAAGTTTTATTTTACAATAACATATCAAACAGTTTATAATGTGAAATCATATTTAATTTAGTCACTCAACTCCTGACTGGCAGTTGCAAAGTCATTTGTACTGTTTTTATGTCATACCATGCTAAATATATTAAATGGACTTGTCCATCTTTCAATCTGGACTAAACCATTCATCATTTTGAGGAAAAATTTAAAAAAATGAATGTAGAATCGTGTGGTCACCATGATAAATTGGTACAGATTTTCCTGCTGATCTTGATCTGCATTGGTTGTATTGGAACTAAGTATCAGTTGTCACTTCTGATTCTGTCTTCCTGAGCTAGCTAACTGAATGTTAGTGGTTCTTCTCAGGTGCCCATTTGTGTCAAGAGGACTTTCTCCACCAGTAAAGCAATGCCAGAAAACAATTTGTTAATGCAAATATTTTTTTCTTTTTCAAAATTCATACACAGGTGATCCCTAATAAGTCTGTGTATAGTCATATTGTATAGTCACAAAATACTAGTCTAGGTATAATAATTGTGACATTAAATTGCTAAGTGATTGTATAATATACATTTTGTATTTTTGCATTATCATAAACTTCTTAGGTTATATCATTTTTATTACCAAATAGGTATTTTAAGTAGATTTTTTTTCCAATAGAAAAGAGATAAATTATTTCTTTGATTGTGCTGTGATATTTCATTATTTTTATGTCATTTTTTTTATGATAATTGACTGATCAATAGACAACATTTTCATGAACCTGTTGTATGAGTTGTCACAAAAAAGGCCAGGCTAGATATTAAACATCATTACATCAAAGTTACTAAACAATTTTGTTAAGTTAATGAGCCCTATACTGAAAATGGCCCAATCTTCATCAAACTTGGTCTTTTTTATTATTTACCTTTGAAGAAAAGCCCTTTTGCAGTTTGTAAATAATGAACTTACGGTACACTTTCTTTTGTATAATAGGGCATTTTATGAAATTTGTTTCTTTAAATGGTATATCATATCATAATATTTGCATTCATGCATTTTTAGATGATTATCTGGGCCAACTTTGAAATATGAAATTAAATCTTTATTAATGTTATTAAAATACTTTAAATTGAATAACACACCCTGTGAAAGTTAACAAAAAAAAATTGTAAGAAAAAGCAAGGGACAAAGAAGAACATTATAATTATCTTATTTAGATATCACTGTCTGGACCTTATACAAGGTAAAATTTAGGATTGACTCTTTTAGACTTGATGTACTGGGATATTTTTACACCCAGACATTTTCATTCTTAAAATTTCTTGCAGGGGAAAATGTCTGCCCCTTCCAAAATAGACGAGGGATCAAATGTCTGCCTTGACAGAGAAGCAGGGAAAATGTTGTATTTTCCTTTAGACTTATGTAACAAGTTTTCTTAATGTTTTGCAAGATTTATGGTGTGAATATTGATACTGGTACATGACTATTAAAACCTACCTAATTTTGTAGAAATTGTGCAAAGAAAGACATTTTCAAAATGATATACACAAAGCTAAAAATTGTCAAAGTGTTATACCTAATTCAGCCCTTATTTGGAAACTGGCAGAGAAAAAAAGGAAGGGTTTTACTTTGAAAATGTGAAATTGTTAATACAGCCAATGCACTCATTAGAAATGCTGAGTTGAGAAAATTTTGTAGAAAATTATATATAATATAATAATATTGCATGCTTCTATTATAGATATAAATCTATGCAAAAATTTATTATATTGTTAAAATTTTTGAAGGAAAAAAAAATTTGAGAATGTAAAACTCGGGTATGTGAAATATGTATATATTTTGAAAAGAAAACATGTTAATGTGATGACTTTATATGGGAGGCTGAATTGTTGTCTTTATGTTACTATAAGGACAAGATAACCTTGTAATGTTATAATGGTTGAATAATAAGCTTGTTATCAAGTTTTATATATTTAGCAAAAACTGTGTAGTATTACAACAAGATAAGCGTGTTATTTTCCCATCCCTTATGTCTTATGTTGCATGAAATTATCTATAATGTTCTACAGATAAAATACCGATGTAAGTTTTATTTTATGATTATTGTTCGACTGGGTGGGACATAGTCACGTTTTACTTAATTTAGCAAAAAAAATCTTTTTAAGGATACAAAGGATTGATAAATTTCTATGATGTACTTTTGCAATGGTGCATTAATGTTCAATTCTAGAATTTTCAGAAACAAAATTTAAGCAGTCGTATAGACTGTATTAAAAAAGTTCTATTATGACCTGATTTCATATTGCGACATAATGCATGTTATATAAAATTTTGTCTAGCAACCGGCATTCAAAGACTAAGTACTGAGTTGTTTTTTTCTTCAACATTTCAGTAAGGGTTTATGGTATTAAAATCTCTGTTTCGATTGGCTTAGGTCAGGCGATGCTCACGTAGAAATGGTGAAATCTTTTTAATTGTCTTTGTCGCGTCCAAAAAACATGAAAATCTGAGAGAAAAAGCCAACCTGAAATAAACATTTTTTTGCTATTGCCTTAATGCAATTTCATCTTCACTTTATGATAATTTGGTTATAATAAAATGGGAGGTGATACAGTCATTGTACTGAATTATGAAATGATGCAAAAAATGAAATTATGTGCAAAATTGTTGCAACTGTTTAGCCACGTAGAACAAAATGTCACAGTTTTGCATCAAGGCCTTCGATATATGAGGTATCAACTTTAAGAGAATATTATATCAGACTGTCTCTTTATGTTGAATGTATAAAACTGGTTGAATAAACTGATAAATTACCATGCTGTGTTAAGCATTTGATCTTTTTATTTTCCAGCATATGTTATTAATTATTTTCGCAAAGTTGTTTTATAAAAATTAATGCATAAAATATTTTACTTTCCCACCCATGATCAAAAATAGCATGAACAAGTCTCGCCTTCATTTGAGGTATTTATTCTATATCAATTTGCTCAATTTTGTCTTATTCTGAATAAAATCAAATGTAAGTCATGACAAATACTGTTCCAATTCCCCTAACAATATTTCTGGAGATTCAAGAGTTCAGGTGTCCATCCATTCCTTATTTCATCCACAAGCAGAGACAAGGGAGGAACGTATCCACTTGGGCATTGAAGTATTGTTGTGTTACATATTGAGAGTTTACAACAAGTTTTGTTGCACCTAAGTACTGTTTTGGCTTATTAAATGTTATAGGATTTTGGGTATAGGCGAGTGGTCAGCCAGTACCATATCAGACTATAATCTAATGATCCCTTAGTAATGTGGGTTAAAACCCCATCAAACCATAGTTTCATTCAGCTAGAAAATTTTAATATACTCATTGGACAGATCTGGTTGCTTCCAGAAAAGGATTCTAGAGTGTCTATTCAAAATAGAACTAAAAAAAAATTCTGTGACATCATAAGCCAACAGTAAAATGTGCTGAATTTACAAGAACTTTAAATAGATGTATTAATCGTCTTATTAAGACAGACGAGCCATGTGGTTACACATGCTGTACATTTGTTCTTAAGATATAAACACTGTGAATGTGACTGTAAAAATAAAAGTTCAATGTTTTATTTTACTATGGTACTAATTTAAAAGGTGTTTGAACACAACATTATTTATAATTATTCCTTAATTAATTTCAGGGTCTGTCGCAGTAACATTTAAGTACTACAACCTTTTCTGACATGCCCATCTTGACTGATCCCATTGCAAGTTCAAGAGATATTGGATGGTTGAGTACCAGTACTGGCTTTTGATGCTGAGCACCAAGCAAGGTATTATGATTCAGTGGAGATCTTACTCACTTGCACAAGACATTAAATCTGAATCTCTATTCTGGGGATTTAACTCGCTCCAGTGTTGGAGCTGAGTACCTCTAGACACTTGCAAAAATCATGATCATGAAGTAGAAAAATATTGCTTTTTTCACTGATTCTTATATTTTTCATTCATGATCACATATATAAACTGGTGTGAAGAGGTGAATTGCATTTTGACAGTGGGAAAAGTCATGATTTTAACATTTAATCATCCAAGCGCCTTGTCTGGTATATACCGGAATACAGTATTTAGTCTATTGCTCCAACACTTTTATACCATCGAGAAAGTTGAACAACAAATATTATCATGGTAAATAAAAAAACTATTTATTTATATAAAAAACAATCAGATTTCTTGAAAGATTCTTTGGAGTATATCCAGAAACACTGTGGAGAATCCTTTCCATTTTTTATTTTCTTCTTCTTAATTTTCTCATTTCAAACACACCCCTGAGAAAGTATTATAATATACAGATACTGATAACCCCAATTATACCTCTACTATAAAGAATGAAATGTAATAAAACTGAATAAGATATTATCTCTATCAAAAATGGCACCGTTCCAACCCATTGTTTGTCATATACTTATCATACCTTTTGTATTTGAAAAGTTTGCTGACTGAAATTGATGAGTGATAAATTGCGGATTTATATAGATCTACTTTTACTCGCCCTTTTCATGATGAAAAATTCAATTATAATTTAAGCTTTGACATTTATCCCTTTCTCCAGTGTTACATTAATTTGTATGACGGACTTGACCAGATAAGTATCCCGTATTTAGAGGATTTCACTTTTTTTTCTTCATATATTGAAATGAATTTCATTATTTTGTCAAGATTCACATAATAATTCAATGGTTAAATTATTTCCAAGATCTATTATGTCCACCAGTAACTGCATTATTGTTATATGGCACACTGCACATAAATGCAGTTTAATTAACTGATGCAAATACAGTGCCTGCTATCTAATAAATCCACTTTTATTTAATGAGTTGAAATAATGTATTACAATATTAGGGGATAAATATTTCATGTAGTTTCATTTTGCATTGATAATGTGATTAGTGATTTATTGTCTATATGCTATAGTAATGTTTTTTAACAAATTTACTAGAACTGAAGTGATAAGCCTTTGTTCCCAGTATAGCTAGACTGATTTGCACAGGGTTATAAGCCTAATTGACCCCAGTATAGAGCCCGGCCGGCTTGCACAGGGTTATAAGCCTAATTGACCCCAGTATATAGCCAGGCCGGCTTGCACTAGGTGATTAAGCCTTTGCCTCCAGTTTAGAGCCAAGGACTGCGCTTCTGCACTAGGGGGAATAAGCCTTTGCCTCCAGTTAGAGGGCCAGACCCCGGCTTGCACTAGGTGATTTAAGCCTTTGCCTTCAGGGTTAGAGCCGACTGGCTTGCATGGGTTGAAAAAGCCTTTGCCCTCCAGTATTAGAGCCAGGAACGGCCTTTACCACTAGGTTGATTTTAAGCCCTTTCCCCAGTATAGAGTTAGGCTGGCTTGCACAGGGTGATACTTTGCCTTTTCCCCAGTATAAAGGCAGGCCAGTTTGCACTAGGTCACTGTGATAAGCCTTTTACCCCAAGTATAGAGCCAGGCTGGCTTGCATGGGGTGATAAGCCTTTTCCCCCAGTATAGAGCCAGGCCGGCTTAAACACGGTGATAAGCCTTTGCCCCCAGTATAGAGCCAGGCTGGCTTGCTCATGCAGAAACTGATAGCTGACTATCTTGGTATCATCAAAATAATTAAGTTCTAAAAAAGGAATAAGAAATTTAGCAATTTAAGGGGTTACCTATTTACAAGAGGCACTTTACAGTGTTTGCTTTCTTGGACAATCTAAAAGATTGTACAAAAAGTATATACACAACCTGTAAATGGCAATGACCAGACTGTGTCCTAGATTTTATTTTGTAAACTGATAGTTTAGCCCTGAAGCTTGAGATTGTATTACCTGTTAATTTGAATGCATGTTCCAAAATGGTGTTTTATTTACAAAATTACATGTCTGTGTTATATTTCATACAATGTTCTACAACCATAAAAGTTGACAAATGCTTGTCAATGGACCCCCAGGGAGAGTGGGTGTTGATTATCCCATTCTGAACCCAATTATCACCCAGGTGCTTGCTGGTACACTTGATTATGTAGGCATAGGTAAGTAATGTCTGTCAAGATTAGGAATGATATTCTATGCTTTTTACCCCAACTGGTCAAGAGCGTTGAACTGTTCATGGGAAATTGTTGATTATGTTACCAAAACTAATCCATGATAATGAAAAGGTTGTTGATAACATGGCCAAAAGGTTAGAAAAATAACCCAAAGTTCAGAATCTGCAATAAAAGATTTATTTGTTATTTTCTGCTGGCTAAGTTTTTATCTTGTTAGTACAGTGAAAGATGTTAAATTTCTTAGGTAAATAAATAAGTTATCTTTTACTGCTGAGTATAATATGTAGAAAACAGATATTGTTGTTATGTTTGTAAATTAAATATGGTAATCTTTTTCAGATGGTATAGATTTTACATAGAACAGATAACAACAGAGTTTAAATCCAGCCAGTCCTGCTGATTAGACAAATTAAAGACCTTTGCACTGGCTTGCTGGCAGTATTACCCAAGTTAATTAATTAATATTTGCAGGGTAGGTTAGTATTACAATATTATTATGTATTTAATAAACTTTAGAAATCAAGAGGTATTATTAATGTGGGTTGGTTTTTTTAATATATATTAACTGTATAAACTTTGATTTAAAAAGTCATCAAGTCTGTTGATAAAGATACCTGAGGACAAATCCTCAGGTGGGACTTATTTAGATCCTTCCTTAATGCAACTGGAGACAACAATCATCATAGAGTTTATCAGGTGTTAGTACATTTTGTAATCTACTTTTTCATAACTGACATCAGTTTTTTTAAGGTGGGTGGCTGGGTACATGTTGGGGAATGAACCATTGAGTTATGCGGAATGAACCATTGAGTTATGGGGAATTGACATTGAATAATGGGAATTGAACCATTGAGTTATGGGCAATGAGTATTGAGTTATAGAGAATGAACCATTTAGTTACGGGGAATGAACATTGAGATATGGGGATTAACTATTGAATTATACTGAATGAACCATTGAGTTATGCAGAATGAACCATTGAGTTATGGGGAATGAACCATTGAGTTATGGGGAATGAACATTGAGTTATGGGGAATAAACAATTGAGTTATGGGGAATGAACCATTGAGTTATGGGGAACGGACATTGAGTTCTGTGGAATGAACATTGAGTAATGGGAATTGAACCATTGAGTTATGGGGAATGTACATTGAGTTTGTGCAGAATGTACATTGATTTGTGGGGAATGAACGAACCAGTGAGTAATGCGGGATGAATATTGAGTTATGGGGAATGAACCGTTGAGTTATGAGGAATGATTGTTGAGTTATGGGGGAAAGAAACCCTTGAGTTATTTTCTGAATTTAAAAATTGAGTTATGGGGGGAAAGAAACCCTTGGGGTTATGCAAATAAACATTTTATTTTTTTGGGGAAAAGACATTGAGTTTTGCAGAATATACTTAATTTATAGGGGAAAGTTTTTATTTGAGTTTTTGGGGGTGGGAAACCCTTAGTTATGTGGGAAGGGGAAATTTTTGAGTTTTAGGGAAAAATACATTGATTTTGGGGAAGTACAAATTTTAGTTTTACCAAAAATTTAGTTATGTTTCAACTGCAGCCAAAATGAAAGTTTCTTTTTGATTTAAAAAAAAATTTTTTTAAAGTGCTTTAAAATCAAAGGAAAAAAATACATCTTTAACTATGGAAAATATAAATATCTCCTTTATTTTGGAAGCAGTTTCAATTTCTTTAAGGTTGAACTGGATTATAAAGTATATTTGTATTACAATTATACACATAAAAACATTTTTCTTGTTTTTAGGGCCAGCCCATTGTAATATGGATTTAGGTAGTGGTAAATATGTGGGGCTGAAATGAAATTAGCTTGTTGTCACTATTTAGGAGATAACATACAGGTCATTGTTTATCTTATTGTAAGATGACATAATTACATTCCAGCTGTAGATAGAGTAATTTCTTATCACACTTTATGTAGATATAATTCTAACAGTCCCATATCATAAAACTAAGGTGAAGTGGAGGGAAAAGAATGGTCAGTTTCAAACATTGGCTATTTAAACAAATTTTTATCTGAGCTTTCCTTTAAAATTTTTAGTTTTCACCTGACATACAATGAAAATATTTATTGTACATTGTTTTATAAAATTGTGATATTTTAAATTTCAAGATTTTTAAGTTTTTTTTGCTCACAAATTTTTTTAAAACAAAATCTGCATCTTTTCGCTATCTAAAATTTTTTTTTTTATTGTAGAAAAAAGCATTTTAAAATCTGGGTTTTTCATTGCTGAAGGCCCGAATTTTCCCCAAACTACTATTTTTTTAAAAAATACATCATCATTTTTTTGTTCCACCCAAAAAAAATTCAACAGCTTACCAAATCATTTAAATTTAAAAGGGCATTTTAAAACCCCCAAAAGATGGTTTTAAATTTCCACTGCTTGGAAAAAATTTCCTTTCCAAACATCATTTTCCCTCATACTATTCAAACATTTTTTTTATTGTCATTATCATCACCATCATCATTATCATCATCATTGTTATTATCACCACCATCATCAAAAGTTAAAAACTTTTAAATCTTTTTCTCCACATACATTGAATGACTCAGCTATATGTTTTACACATTTACTTAAACTTAAAAATATGTTTTCTATTCAAATTCTACATAATACCATCCTGACATTAGTTTGAGTCCTGGAAGTGGCATTTTAATTCTTGATGAAATGAAAAAAACAGACTATTTTCATGTATTTCTTTTTCCACCAAGTTTGTTTAGCCTTATTTTTGCTGGTATATTAATTGTCACTGAACTGTAAATGGCTACAAATGCAACATTTCAAATGTTGAGACATAGTTAGAACTAGTTTAACAAAAACTGGTCGCATTTTTTAATCAGATTTGAACTCTCGAAGACATTTGTCTATATAAAGTTCCATTATCTCCAAACTTAATGTGCGAATTTTGCAGTTGGTGGTGACGAATTCCACAAGAAAGACTTTGAACTTGACCCTGAAAGTGACCTTATAATTTAAAAGATAAGAATTAAGGTTACTATATGTTGAACTGCCAGTCTTAATTTTCTTACACTGTTTCCTTTAAGTAATTTCAAACATCATTATTTCAAATAGCCTTGTTTTTAATATCCAGGTCATATACTGTCAGTTTTAATTTTACAGACTGATGGATAGACAGAGGAAACTAGCACAACACATGAACAGATGGATGAATTTCTACTTTCTCATATATTTTTAACTCTTAACCACACTACATATTTTTAATGGACTAATTGTGCATCAGACAATCTTGATAAAACATTCATCAATCATTGTTTAAAGAAATTTGTAAGGGGAGCGGTGGCCTAGTGGTTAAGATGTCTGCCTCTCAACCTAGGGATCATGGGTTTGAGCCCTACTCAGTCACAACCATGTTCCTTCATATGATACCAGTTCTGGTTGGTTCCAGGAAGCGTACTCCAAAGTGCTTAATATAAGTTGCAACGACTTGTTTAGCAATGGAGTTTAAAACTGACTGAATAGTGAGCAGTGCAGACCATGATGTGGTCTGCACCGGTCATATGCGTATATTCAGTCACCACCCAGGCAAGTTTAAGGTTAAGGTTTATTGAAATGAAAAACAAAGTTTAACAAAAAAAAATTTAGTCAATTTAAAACATTTTAATTGAGATGTCACTTCCTTGTAATTGTCAACATAGGAGGTTGCATTTTTGGGTTGCTGCATGTGAAAGTTATATAATTAGGGTATAAGCAGTTATTAATTACCATTGATTAGTCATTTTTTGTAAGCAAGTAGTTTTATATACAAGTGGAAGGATTATAATCACATGACCTCGCCTGGCAATGAGGTTTTATCAAAGTGTGGGGTTTATTTCTCATATAGCACGCCTATATCACAAAATATGCCATCACTAAGCTTATCCTTTTGTTTATTTGATCAACATGCCAAATTACGTGGATCTCCAGATAACTTTGAAGTCAGAATGAAACGTTTCATTCATGATGAGTTTCAGTGAAGATTTATTAAAGAAACCTGACCGATAAAATGCTCCAAGACAAACTAGTATCTATGCCTGTTGCCAAAATTCTTGTTGGCAAAGAAAAGAGTTAGGCTCATTTTAGAACTATATATCACCTCAGTAGCCCATTATTAGGAGAAAATTGTTTGTGAATTTATATAATGGAGGCCTATTACCATACCAAACTTAAAGTGTGCTGATAATCTCGTATAAAAATGCTCCTGTGTAAATGTTCATGTGTAAATTACTGGATGATAAAATTGGAACAATTTTCAGTTTTTCCCTACATTCACATGCTGAATGTAGCCTGAAAGGATGAAATCAAATCTTGCCAAATTACTTTCTCATTATATTGCCAACTAAATACTCACTTTATTAATTATTTTTGCCATCTCAACAAATTTTTAAATGAAGTAAAAAGCTTCCATCTGTAGATTTACAGCATTTTTCCCTCCCCTTGTCATTTGTAAAAAAACAACATATTATTAAATGTTTTATTTGTTGAAATTACTGTAAAGATGCTTATCATTCTATTACAGTTTTGTATACATCTTAATTTCGCTTACAAAATGTGTCGATGATTTTTTTCAAAAATTAAAAACCATAAAATATGTATGAAAGCTTGAAAACGGCCTTAGCTAGGTCATCACATAGTTTGCTTTTGACTAGCAAACACAAAATCTATACTTTAATTTCTTTTAAACTTGTTGAAACAGAAGAATTCAAAGAAACAACACATTAACACTGGATTAATATGTACAATATTTTAATTATTTAAGATCTACCAGTTGATATTTTTAGTCAGAATTAATATATTTTAATTTGGGGATATATTGTTTTAAACTAAAATCTTGTTGAAATGTTTCCTTGTTAATGTGCAGAGGAGAAAATGAACTTTTATAAAGGTATGACACTAAAACAGCAAAGACTTTTCCATCAGCATTGAGTGACAGGTCAGTCTGCAGCCTGATCAGGATTTACGCTCTGTACCTTTTGGTGACCTGAGCTACCTGATGTTTATTGTTATATTCCTATATTTGATAACAGATTCTTTTAGAATATATGTTGGGATAATTCTTTTATCAGGAAATTCAGCTGAGTTAACTTAGATTCAGTCTTCATCATTACTGCATGAATTCTGAATTGTACAAATGTTCAACAAAAAAAATTGAGTTTATTCCATGGTTCTTTCATCATTATTTTCTTATAATGGCTAAATTGGTAACTTTTTCTCTGTTAGATTAGATGCCACACACCAAAGGTAATAAGAGAACAGCTGATTTGTGTCAAAATTTAGAAAATTACACCAGATCCCCACCAATATACAGGTAGTGATGAGTTTATCAATGAATTATCTATGTATTATCATGATAACAGCACTGTTATCATTTTATAAATAACAACCACAGACAGAAATGAGTGCATGTTAAGCTTCTCTCTGAAAAATTTATGGGGGAATATTTTTTTTGATGTCCTA